TATACATATATACATATACATATACATGTATATACATGTGTCCATGTATACATGTATGCATATATATATATATATATTAATTTATATTAATATATATTAACATATATACATATATATATATTATACGTACATATATATATACATACATACCTACATATATAGATATATGTCTATATATATATTTATGGCAATATATATATATGTAGCGCTGTATATATATGCTTTTGTGTAAAAGCACGCAAATACATATGTGTTATATTTTTGTTGCCTGCTGTGGCAGTGCTTGAGCTCAGATTTATATGCGTACTCGTGCAATTGGCATTTGCTTGCTAGTGTGAAATGTATCGGATATCATTCAACGTACCATGTATTTCCGTGCCATAGCATAAGACAGGGGATAAAAGTCATTCGTGTCAACCACTGCGTTCTGTATATGCAACGTTCACATGGCACAGACTATTCATAAGCTGATCTTGAATGCTTTCCTTTGTAGGTTCATGACTAGTATGATTGTGCATTCGCCGTATGTGTCCAACCCTGCGCGAAAGCCCGTACGTCCACCCCCACCCAAATTTCGCGAGAAGAAGCCTTGGGAGACCCCTACACACAGGTATGTTTAGCATACTATATCACGCACGTGTACTGATGCGTGCTGAGTGTAGTAGGGCGTGGATTCGATCAAGGATCGAGTTTGTAATTTTGGGACACTTTCTGAATATATACGGATAACATAGCTGCTGTTATATGTATAAATAGATATGATAGTTGTATACATTAATAAATAGTTCGTACGTCATATCTATATTTGTTTCTCAGAGGTTTGTGTATACGCTTATATACGATATAATCGGTTGTTTTAGATTCTAGGCACAAATGAGCTTCTTACAATTCAAATAAACTTCTTGCAATCTGTTTAGACGTAAATTTCACGATGTTTAGTTTGGTGCATGATTGTACACATATATACGTTACTACAAATATACATAAATGTATGTCCAAACGCATTCATATACGGGTTTATGTATATTTCTAACCGCACACACATATGTTTTACATATCAATGTACATGTCAATTTTCTATATAATGTATGCACAACTATTTGCACACACGTTTTCGCCTACGTTGCTCAGATTGAGGTCGTGAAAGAGGAAAATAATCTGATTCACCCTCTCCCCCCCCCCACACCGCCTATATCTTCAGATTCATCACAACCATGGTGGTGCATTCGCCCTGGACTCCTCTACCTAAGAAACCCACAACGCAAGATAAGGCCATGAAAACACTTCACACCGCCTCAAAGTTATCCAAAGCAGGCATCTCGGTAGCCTCCGCATCGGTGGCCAGGCAGAGCAGCATACTTGCAAACAAGGGTGTCACGAAGTCAAAGGACGTGTATGCTAAGACGAAGGAGAAGTATGCCGCACGATCGGCTAGTCCGACCCCGGTCTATACTGGTGCCATGCTGTCGGGTGGACAGACGGATGTGGTTATGGCCGATGAGCACGGGGTTTGGCCTCATATGTAAGTGGATCTCTGTTTTGTATCTGTGTTTTTTTTAACGTTGTTACAATTTAACTGAGGATCCAATAGCACGTGTGCAAATAGCACATCAGGGCATTGCTAACTGTATTCATCCTTGATATTAGTATCTGATTTCACATAAAGTGATATATATATATATATATGTTTATGTTTGTATATTTATATTTATGCATGCATGCACACATACGTTCATACACACAGACATATATGAAGATATTTATATATATATATATATATATATACGTATATGTATACATACCTACATATATATATTTATATATTTATATACTCAATTCTTTCTATATACATATGCACTCTTCTATTTATATTTATATATTTATTTATGTATATATATATATATATATATATATACATATACATTCGTATATATGTGTGTTTGTGTTTATGTCTCCCTGAGTGTGTGTGTACTTACATATGTGTATATACAATATATATATATATATATATATATATACATATATATACAAAATATATATACATTCACACACATATATGTATATATATGTATATG